TGGAGTCCTCGACACGGTCACCGGGGGGTTCTCGCGTGGTGCGGTTGTCAACTCTGCTCCCGCCACACCGGCGTGGGTGCTCACGTACGGGGTTGGTTCCAGGCCGGTGGGTGCGTGGTGCGCTGGTCGATGTCGCTGGCCTGCTCGTAGAGGTCAGGCGGGCGAAGGTCATTCTTTCTGAGAAGGAAGAAGGGCGAGAGAGCGGAGGGTTCTCGTTCCATGGGTGGACAGTCCGTCACCGCACATGGGACGCAAGCCAGAGGCGGGAATGTACAAGCCGCACCCGAACGACGCAGGACCAATCGCAGATGCGCAAGAACGCTCCCTAGAGGACTACGCGAAGCTGACCACGACTCTCGACAACTTCCGGGTACCCCACGCCCTCAAGCTGTTCTGTTTTGCGCGTTTTGTCTTATCGGGGGTACGGCGTTTTTCATGACAACGGCAGGAGTCGTGTTTATCAATATCGCTCATGGTTTGCTTTTGTTTGGTTTTTGGTTTTTGTAGGGGGCGCCGCTAAATAAAAACGGCAGTCGCTTTTAGTTATTGCGAGTTAGAGACACTAATGGTATCTAGACACACGACTGCTATTTACACAGGTACGCGTATCTTTCTCTCTCTTTCTCTGTTCCCTTCTCGGTCCAGAAGTTTCAATCGGTAGCACCTACGAACACACACACACCAGCATGTTTTTTTTTTTTTTTGTTCTCATCTGGCGCCGTCTCAGGCTGGTGGTGGACAGCGCGGGCGACCCCGAGCTGCAGCCGTGGAGCACCAACTTCCGGTTCGAGACCGACGAGAAACGGCTCACTTGCATCCGAGAGGTCAAGGCGCGCCTGAAGCCTCTCGAGGACAAGGTCGACCGTTTCAACGCGGCCCAACACGTAAGTTCCGTGCGGACCGCCTTGCGGGGGAATTAAAGTTTGTGAGGAAGGAAATAGAACAGGGAGAGAGGGGGGGGGTACGCGGACCCTATTTCCCTAACCCGACTTCCCCGATTGCATGCTGTACCCAACATATTTACGTACTCAATAGAAAAAACCACACTTCGCGGGGAATTAAAGTTTGTGAGGAAGGAAATAGAACAGGGGAGAGAAGGGGTACGCGGACCCTATTTCCCTAACCCGACTTCCCCGATTGCATGCTTTACCCAACATATTTACGTACTCAATAGAAAAAACCACACTTCGCGGGGAATTAAAGTATGTGAGGAAGGAAATAGAACAGGGGAGAGGGGGGTACGCAGACCCTATCCCTAGCCCAACTTCCCCGATTACATGCTTTACCCAACATATTCACGTACTTAATTGAAAAAACCTGCGAAGGGTGCGGGTTGGTGTGTACACGGGTTTGCTGTTTCGAGATCGGAAAGTCAATTTGGTCCTCTGGCGTTCTCTTGAGAAGCCTGATTGGGTCTGAAAGTTGGAGACAACCTCCTCGACCTCCTGATCCTTGGAGAAGTGTGTTTTGGTTGAAGCTTGGAAACAACCTGGAGTGGCTTAGGCGTAGCGGAGAGGAACGGAGGAGGCGGCGAGACTCGTGTCTGTGACCCTTTGCCGTGGCCCCATAGGTGTACCTGGTGAATGCCGGCGTTGACTCTGCCGCGCAAGTCGTAGATACCGTACCCATCTCTCCATTTTATAAACACGTAACCCCCCACCCCCCTCCAACCCCCCCTCGGTGTTTGCCATCGGGATTGGGTTTTCGTCGCTTGGCAACGATGTTGTAAAACAAGCCAATTCACTTCGTGAACTCGGCAACCAGGTTACCGTTTGTTTTTTTTTACCTCGTTTTTTTTTTGGCGGTAACCATAATGGTGGTCGAGTAGATCATGTTGTGCGGGGTGGAGAACCCTCATTCCGCGCAAGGGGGATGATCGCACCACGTTGTGTTAAAATGGTCAAGCACCCTCGAGGCAGTTACACAGTGCTTACAACTGTCTCTGGAAGTGAAAGCACCAGAAAATAAATTAAGTCATACGTAGCTGTCATCCGTACGCAAGGAAGTAAGCACAAGATGCCGAACACCCTTAGCAGGATGCAGCTCACCCTTCATGCGACTCGCCGAATACCTCACGGCGCTTCGCGCTTGGTGATGTGAGAGCCTGGTCCGGTGAGAACCCGGCGTGCCCCGTCCCGGCTTTGTAGGGATGCGAGGTCAATGGTCAAACGACTACGGCATGCACGACTATGAGTACCCCCCCCCCCCGCTTGCCGTTGTCGCGTGTGAGCACCTGGTAAATGTCGGTGTTCTCTCTGCGGGACAAGTGTAACATAGATAACATATATACCCTTGTTGATTTTAGTAAACGCGGGACCCCCTCCCACCCCTCGTTCTCCCTCCTATTCGCACCCCCCTCTCGTCTTGTCGCCTTTTGTTCCCTACCGCGACGTGCATTGCGTTAAAACAAACACACGCAGGCCGCTGTAACTCGGCAAGAGATGGCGCTCGCAAATGCCAAGGATTCCGCGAGGGACCTCCCCCGAAGCTTGACATCGTCCATTGACTTGGAAGGCCAAGACTACTCTGTGAGTATTGCATGGTTCTTCTCCCGTTTCTGTGTTTCTGCGCTGTTTGTTCGTTGAGAGTTCTCAAGTACTGTCTCTTTTCGAACTCTCGGCACAATCTTGGGGTTCTCCTGGGGGTTGATAACATGGGTATCGCCTAAGCATGTGGCATTGATGCATGCGGTCGAAAAGTTCTGCTGCCGTTTTGTATTTTTGTGTGTGAACAAATGCGAGTAAATAGATATCCATGTCTGAGGTTGAAGCGGCCTTTAGAAATGTTTTTTTGCAAGTGGTGCATGTTTAGAAGTATGGGGGAATGATGCCGGGTGTTGAAGCAGTGCTGGCGTGAATGAAAGAATGCTTGTTGATGTTGGTAGTAGTTGCTATTGTTGTTTGTTGTGCCTCTCACATTAGCTCTATAGTCCCCAAAAATGGGGAGCCCGCGGTCGCAAAACCCGGCACATACGACGCCGCGGGGAAACAAAACAAGAGTAGAGTACAAACCACTCGGAAAAAGAAAACAAAATGATAGTGTTGTGTGACGACTATGGGATGCGTTGACGAGTCAAGAGCAATCCCTCTTAGTTGGCATGATTTGTGGGTTTTCCGGAATCGAGTGTTTGTGAGGACTGTGGGGTGCGTTGACGAAGGTTGCTTGATGGATTTCCGAAACGTCGCGGAGGTATGTAGGTGTTTGTGGACGTCTACGCCGACGAGTCAGTACCGTTTTTTGTTAAGGTCTTGCGACGATGAAAACCAACCGGGTTGCGTGCCATGCCTTCCTGCATGTCGAAACCTTGGCCCGCGCTTGTCACCCATCACACCGAACTAAACACGTGAGTATCTGTTCCCTTAGCAGCTATGAAATTGAGTCTAAAAAAATCCACCGTTTACTTGTTTTGGTACAGGCGTGCATGAACGAGGCGAAGCGGTTGCTGGAGACCTTCGAGGAGGAGCAGCGCGGTCGGCTGAGCCAGCAGGCCAGGCCCCTCAAGTTCGAGCATGGCAGAATGCGCCCCGAAGACGAGCAGGCGATCAAGCCCGTCGGGTACATCGCGCAGCTAGGGTGAGAGGGGCAGGCATCACCTTTCGAGTTTTTCTCCCACTTTCCACTGGAAAACAGGGGTAGCATCCCTACTCTTCTGCACCGTTGAGGCGTCGTATTGCCCCAGTAGCCTTTGATACAAGGTAGACTTGTAAGCCTTGTCTCTATGATGGTATAGGGGCTGGAATGCAGTGGCCACTCTCTGCTGCTGCTGCTGCTGCTGCTGCTGATGATGATGATGTTAGTGCTACTGCTGCTGTTGGTGCTTTTGCTGTTGATGCTAAATAATGTTTTGCTGCTGATGATAATGTTGCTTCTGCTTGTTGTTGCTGCTGCTGCTGCTGCTGCTGCTGCTGTTGATGCTGATGCTGACAAAATCTTTAGGTATGTGCAAGACGAGTACCGGGCGAAACTCCTGTCCCAGAAGTGCGGGAGCAAGATGAAGGCGGTTTTCGTGGACACCAAGAAGCAGCTCGACATGGTGCGGAAGGCGCAGGCCGGCGGGTTCTGCCAAGAGGTGCGTATCATCACCATCGCGCCTCGAACGGCGCGCGCGCACACAGTGCGTGTGTCATTCCGTTCGATTACTTTTTCTCTCTCGCCCAAAAAAAAAAAAATGGGTCCTCCCCGAAACCTCAAGAAATATGAAAAACTATTGCAGTCAAGCACTACTTCGCTTGGATAGGCCGAAATCTACTTCGTACGCTACCATTGTAGCCCACAGGGGCTAGCGCCAAGGCCCCGCGGGGCGGACTCGAGCGACCGATTTGTCGCTAGCTGCAGCAACGGAAACCAGAACAGCGGTGGTTCGGGTTTGTCGCGGTCCCGATTGCCTGGATTCCCGGACACACATATCGCGGTATGAATTCCTCGACAAGTGCTATAGTGCTCTTCAGGGACCTTCCCCGAATAGCGAGGTTTGTCGCTATACCTCTGTACGTCGGGACAACGACTGCCTTCGCGAACATCGGAGAGGAGAACGACCGCGTGCGCACGGCACTCCGCCAAATGTTGGACGATGTGCCCGGCCATCAAAGGCGACGACGGGAAACAGAAGCCAACGCGCCGGCCAGTAGCACTGCCGCGTTCTGTGCCAGCGCGACCGTGCCTTGCTAGCCGCCACAAGTGTATCTGGAGAAGAACGGCAGGGGGGAGCCTGTCAGTGGGGGCCGATGCGGGGACGCCGTACACGCCATGAGGTCGATGTTCAACGGTCCAAAGGCCTCCCACACAACCCGGAAAGCGTGGCCGGTCTGAGCCGTACGAGAGTATCCCGAGACGGCCGCGAAATTGCGTATGCTACCGCATTTTTGCTGCTACCGGTATCCATTTCAGTGAGAGCATGCAGAAGTCATACCCCAACTGCAGGTCTAACAGTTGGACGAGTAGGTCATGAGGAACGCTATTTTTTGGCGCGTCCCCGGTTGAACGCTCCGGCGACAAACCCGTTGTCCGACGTCTGATGGCGAGCCGTGTACGCTGCAACGCGATCGCGGGTGGCCACAGCAAAGCTGTTGTAGGAGGCGATGCAGGGCATGCATCTCGTCGTGGTTGATGTGTTTGGACAACCAGTCTTGCACTTGGACGCACGGTTGCTCCCGCAGTTGCATCGGTAGCACTCCGAAAATGCGCACTCCTTGCGGTAGAGCCGCACACAGCGCCGCCACCGCAACGAGTGCGCGTCTTCGGAGTGTTTGCGATGCAAGCGCGAGGGCCACCGTGCGTCAAGTGAAAAGATTCGTTGTCGCCAAACAAGAAAG